CTCCGTGATCATGCGGAGAGAAAACATTTGATCCGTGCATCCTCTTCCAGGTCTAAATCCGCATTGTGCCTCCCATAAGAATCTTTCCGATTTCTCTTGCATCCTACGTGTCAAAACCTTCGAGTAAACTTTACTTGCTAAACTGGTCAAGCTGATCGCCCGATAGCACCCGCAGTCAAAATGTGAACCTTTACCTTTATATAAAGGCACAATGACCGCGGATCGCCAATCATCCGGGACATCTCCCGTCCGCCAGCACAAATTGCACAGCAGATGGAAGCTGTCCCAGACGCGAGGCCCACCGTACTTGACCATTTCAGCAGTAACTCTGTCTAGTCCCGCAGCCTTACCACATTTCAAACTTCGAATCGCACGTTCAATCTCTTTCATGCTGATGACCTCAGTGTCATCGAGGTCCGTGTCTGGCGTGCCAGTCACGGCGTCACCCCGGATCCTTCACTAAGATCATGACACGCATACATTTCTCTATAAAATTCACTCCATCGCTGCATGACGTCCGATTTTTCTGAGAGGACGTCATTGGTTCTCGAAAGCACTTTGTTCATTCTTAAGGCTGTCGCACCACTCCGGGACCTTCCAACCTCTTTCCAGAAGAGTTTGGAGTTTTCCCTAAAGTTGTGCGACAACCTCTCGTCCGCTTCTATTCTACACCTTTCACGTACTTCCTCAATCAATGTTTTCGCATGAACTTTCTGCAGCTTATATCTTTCTTTCATCTTCTCTCTCATATGCTCATCGTTACTAGAGGCCAAGTAGTCTAACCATGCTTTTTTCTTCTTTTTTTACAGCTTCTCTCACTTCATCATTCCACCATGCATCTCTTCTTTTACTACTACCTCTTTTTGTCGTACCACATACTTCTTCCGCTGCACTTACCATTCCATCCCTAAGGTTCTGCCATGTTCTCTCCACACATTCTTTCCTGCCATCGATGGTGTCAAGCTTTTCGGCTACCCTCGTGTGATATTTGTCCCTAGTATCCGCTTCCTGAAGCTTCCAGCTTCGGATGCGACAGACCGACTGTGGTTCTGTTACTGCCGTCCGGTAGCGCCAACCCGCGAACAAACCCCTAAATCTAGTAATTACTAGATAATGATCCGTTCCCAGGTCAGCACCCCTGAACACTCGTGTATCCATCACCTGTTTTCGCAGTCGGTCATCCACCAGGAACAAATCAATCATACTTCTCTCATTCTTTCTTTCTCTAGTGTACATATGGATTTTCCTGTGATTAAACATAGTGTTTGTCACAAGAAGACCCTTTTCCTTGCATACAGCCAGTATAAGCTTGCCAGCATCATTAACCCTTTTATCGCCAAACTTTCCAAGCACCGACTCGTATCCTGGTCGAGCGATACCTACCCATCCATTCAAATCACCACATACAACAGTTCTTTCGTTTCCCTTAACCAAATCTAGAACTTCTCTTACATTCTGGACGACGAAGCTACCGGCGCGTAAACAGCCAAAAGGAATAACTTCGTCAGTCCCATTTTGAAGCGAACCCAGAGAAGTCTTGAGTTCACAACCTTGTATTCAGTCATAAAATCGACCAACCGGGACGACAACAGCACTCCCACTCCCCTGGCAGGCGTTCTCGCTTTCCGAGACTCCGGACCATATAGCTAACGTCCCGCCAGGGAGCTCTTCAGTACCACTGCCTTTCCATTTGGTCTCCGACATACACACGACATCTAATTCTCTTTCTTTCATTATTTCGATCAACTCATTCGTCTTATCTCTCATGCCCCCCCTAACATTCCACGTGCCAACTCTGCACTCCGTCCTCCACCTTCCGCCGTGTCGGGCTGTGCGTGACGGGTGGCGGTCCCCATCGCCGCTTCGCGCGCTGCATTCCACACCAACGGGGACGAGCTGGTGTGCGTCGCCTTGGGGGGGACGCCCTAACCCTCGTTTGCATGGGTGCGCAGCTGTGTAGAATTGCAGCCCTGAAAATGGCTGGCAGGGGTCGCGACGAGCACGCTTCTACAATGACCCCCTGAATTTAAAATAACTTGAGTTTTAGCGAATGTTCATTATATATTAGTGAATTAGGAGATAAAAGTAGTTTTTTAAGCTATTGCATAGCTTCTATCGCGGGCCTTGAGCGCGGGGACCGAATCCAAAAATTCCGTAACGAAAAAAACCTCACGCTCCCCACTCCGACGGGCACGGAGGTGTGGCGTTGAAAGCCGTGCATCATCTAACGTCGTTTCAGTTCGGCAACTTCCATTCGGCAGACTTCGGCACGGTGTTTGTGTGCGTGCGACTAGACGTATGCGTGTACACTAGCTGCTAACTCGATGATAAAAATTCCTGAATAACCTACATGTATTGTAAGATATTAAAAATATTTTAAACGATATTAACTTCTCATTTATTCAATAAGAGAAAAAAAATTGTTTTCTTATCGATCACCACGCTCAAAAAGTGTAACTTGATCTAATATCAAAGACTTAACTGCATAAATAAAATAATAATTATAATTGCATAAGTTGCTAAAAAATGCTATGCAATAGCTTTACCGCGGCAGTCACCGAGTGCCACACGTATTTTTTTTCTTTCTTTTCCATTGTTTCATCGTGTATTTGAAAAATAAAGTCACATGCACGCATACGGTCCGTTCGTTGGCATAGCAGTAGTATAGTACAGTTTTATGCATGATGCATAAGGAATAAATCACTCCAAAATGTATGCATGTCTAGTATTTTTTAATCTTTTTTACACTCATAAAGTTAAATTTACTATTCGTAATGTATTTAATTACAAAGATTTAAATAGTTAGATGCGCCTTCACCTTGAAAAACTGTTGCATTATTTTTGAATGTGTGCGTTTGTAAGACGCTGACACGCGCACACTAATGCAGTAGTGTCATCTCTTATTATCTTACAGAAATTGTGTATACTACTTTCTCTGTCGCACAAATGAGCACTGATTGCGATTGAGTGAGCTCACTCATTTGAAAATAGACCCATTTCTGAGTGGACATACTATGGTAAGACAGGTTAGTAAAATAGGGATGCCAGCTTCATGCAAAATGCCTTTAGTATGGGTAATAATAAGAAATTACTAACATTACGAATTAAAATAAAAAAGTACGTATCTCAGTTAATTTAATTTATTTTTTTATGATAATGTCTGTATTTGTATTTTATAAATATTTAATTTTATAAAATGATACAAATTTGGTGTCTATTTCAGGCATGTCGGAGAAAACCGTGAGTATAATATCTAAAGAAGGTGAAGCTGCTGCCTCTACATCTCAAAAACTCAAGTCTCCTGGAAAACACCATCAAAGACGTAAAACGTTGGATCTTGATGATTTCGATTTATGCGCAATAAGAAACAAAATCCATGAAATGTATACTGTAAGAAAAGTTGTTCCTACTTTAAATAAATTACTTGTAGAATTAAAGAATGACATACACTTTGGTGGAGGTCGAACGACTTTGTGGAAAATTTTAAAACAAATTGGATTTCAGTACAAAAAGTGTGGTTCGAACCGGAAAAATTTTATGGAAAGGTACGACATAGTTGCATGGAGATGCAAGTATATCGTTACTATGAGGCAAAATCGAGCAGATGGTCGGCCAATAGTTTTCTTAGATGAAACATACATTAACGCATCGTATGCAGTGAAAAAATGTTGGCAAAAAGATGACGAGAACGGAGTACTAATAAGTGATTCTGTTGGAATGCGGTGGATAATTATTAATGCAGGTGGAGAAATAGGGTTTATTCCTAATGCTCAATTGATTTTTAAATCACAGAGTAAATCAGGGGACTACCATGACGGCATGAACAGAACCAATTTTATAAAATGGCTTTCAGATAAACTTATACCCAATTTGCCTCCGAACTCCTTAGTCGTGGTGGATAACGCTCCCTATCATACCGTACAAGTAAATAAAGCACCTACTATGAATTCCTCAAAACTTCAAATGCAAAATTGGATAACAAATAAGGGATTGTCTTATATACCAACAATGCTGAAAGCAGAACTTTATGAAATTATAAAAGAGCACAAAGAAGCGCCGATTTATGAGGCTGACCAATTATTGCTTTCTCATGGCCATAAAGTGGTTAGGTTGCCCCCTTACCACTGTGTAAATGGATTGAGTATTGGAGGAGTAGCCAGATAATGTCGGCAAGAAGCTGGGAATAGTGAAGGAAGAGCTTTTCATTATACCCCTCAGGATTGGAAAAGCAGTGTGAACACGTAAAAAATTTAGAAGACAAGTTTTATGTACTTGATGGCTGTATGGATGATATTACTGAATTCATAATTGAATTAGGAAATGACAGCAGCACAGATTCGGATACGGCAGATGATGATGAAGACGTTTATGAAAGTAACAGTGATACGAGTATGTCTGGAATTGTTCCTTTCGACCATAATTATTGTCGGAAAAAATAAATCAATAAATAATTTAAAAATTAAATTGTGTTATCATTCACAACCTTACTAGTCTTATAACTAACTGTATATTTATTTAAATAAGCAAGGTAAACATATTAATCAGGGGTTTTCAAGTTTAGATAATTTTGCCAGCAACCACCAAGTGGGGTAAATGCTCCATATATTGTTGGCAGCACCGTAGACAATGCTGCCATTTCCCAAGGCAGGGGACATCTTACGATGAACGGGCTATACTAAATTGTATAGTCATTACCATAGAGTAGAGTAATATATACAGAAAGTCATTACTCATCTGTCAAAATGGGCGACTGCAGCGCCAAAAGGCGTAGTTGGTAAACTTGACTAAAAGCTAATAAGTCACTTTCGTATCTGTAGCTTGCTACATATACATATTTATTTATCTATGTAATTTACTAATAGGTAGTAAGTGGACTATGGATTAATTAAATATGAATGAATCCAATTCACGCTAATTTAATTTGTGCAATCAGTTTTCCAACCGTTATATACCACTAGTGACTAGTTTCTCTTCGTTCAGGGCCTTGTTTGTTTTCAAAAATGACGATCGAAGGTAACAAGGACGAAGCAGACAAATGTATTGAAATCGCCCAAAATGCTTTTTCTGCTGGTAACGTGGAAAAGGCCGAACGGTTTTTGTTGAAAGCCGAACGCTTATATCCTACGCCGCGAGCTAAGGAGCTTCTTAACCGCGTAAGAGCCGCGGGTCCGTCGAGTGCTGCACCAAAACGAACTCCACCAAGTTCGCCTAGTGCTGAGGATATCAGGCGAAGAAAAGCAGCATCACATCAGCCGCCTCAAAGAGAATACACTCAGGAACAATTAGCCGCTGTCCGAAGAATCAATACTAAATGCAAGGACTATTATGAAATATTGGGTATGTATCTTTTCCTTATACTGTAACATGATTTAAAATCAAATATTTTTCTTTTATTTTAACGAATTGTGTAAATTAATTGTCCAAAAAGCACATTTGCTTAATTAAGATTGTCAGAGAACATAATGATAATTCAAATGTCAAGGACATATTATTGTCTTTACATTTTGAAAGAGTGCTGCAGAAGTGAACGAAGCTTTCATCACAATTTTATAGTACTACAAGAGGACCTGACAGATGTTATTTAGTCCAATCTGTAAGGTGGTGCAATAGGTGTTGCTCCTAATCCACTCTGAACATTTTATAGTGTAAATATCAAATTTGTTAATTACTTTATGATAGTTACTAGCACTATTATAAAATAATTAACAAATGTGTACTACTTTATTACTAATAGCGATAGTTCATAGCATAGTTGAAACCAAAATATATACCAATTAAAAGACAAGATGGTCTCAACTAAAAACTTTTGTGTCATGTTACAATTAATAATAAATCAATACAATGTATATAAGGGGTTGGGTTTACAATTCGGTCGCCTGAATTTGAAGATTCTGTCAATGTGGGGGAGTCAAAGGGGTTTATCTGAAGCACCCCCACTCAATTTTTTCTGCCGGAGCAGCGTCGAAGTATTTTTAATTATTTTTTAAAAATATTGGTAAATGACTAATTTAATTACGTTTTTGACATTTCATCTGTCAATGTCATATCGATATATAGTATTGAATCGATCTAGTGAATCGATATTTCACCCTAGAGAATCGAGATCGAATCTTTTTCTGTTTTATTAAGATTTGCAAAATTATTTACAATTGGTTGAATGTACCCCAACTCGTAAAGAATGACAGTTTTTAATTTAATTATTCAATGTTATCTGTACTTTATTGTATCTTTTGATATCGTAAATATAAACTTTTAACGCAAATAAAAAAAACGATTTTTGCGAAATCGATCTTTAAGATTTCGATTTTTTTGTGAATCGATTCATCTAATTTCGATTTGAATCGATTTAAAAATATGTAAAATTATCGCTATGCCGGCCATTTTGTTGACAGCTTTTCATCATGGTGTTGCTTCCGAGTTTCAGAATTTTGGTGAATAGTGAAATATTTGTGGCGGCGGAATACTGCTAAATATCGCAAAGATCTTTTCTTACAAATGGTGGCAGCCATAAATTATGTTTATAAATTAAAGTAGTTACGAAAGTTAATAATTTGGTGTTATATCGAGTGCAATAGCGAGCGAAGCGAGCCTGGGACGTGGAGCACCCCGACTCGGACAGGTTAGGTTAGAAGAGGATGACGGGGTCGAGTGACCGAGCGAAGCGAGCGAATAGACCCCTCATCCTCTTCGTGGTTATTTTTTTGTAAACCACTCAGAAGTAGGAGCCCCGCGAAGCGGGGCTCCGTCGACCGGACTTCCCTCGACTGCACCACGTTAAGTGGCGTGGGGCTTCCATCCTCCAACTCTCTCTACCCATAAATCAGGTTAAAATTGTCATAAAAATTACGAAACATAACCTCAAAATGAGATTTTTAAAAATAAATAAAAAAAAAACTAAGCACGTCCGGCAGAAAGCGGAAGTAGGGGGTGACTCTACAACTCCTCCCCCTCCCCCCACGCCACCCCTCACCCCCAAATTCAGGCGACCGAATTGTAAACCTTACCCCTGGTGGTAAGTGAGCTGGTTCTTTTCTGGCTTAAAGTATTCAGCAAGGAAACACAGACATCGGTTTCAGCACTATACCACAATATTAATTACCATATTATAAAAACAACTAAAACTCCATGAAGTAGGGCTGTATTATAATTTAAGTTTTTATTTTACAGAAACTTCATAATTTAATGCACTGTGTGACTTCCATGAAATACTTGACACGGGCAAAATCAATTGCTAGTTTTTTTATAGGATAAGTGTGACAATCAAGCTCACAGTCCACCTGATGGTAAGTGGTTGCTGTGGTCCATAGACATTGACATTTATCCTCGTTTGCAAATCAAAAATGCTGATTTGTTGTCAGTGCAAAGGGACTCGACCCTCGTCTGTACAAACGCCATATTCTAGTGTCTCAAAAAATATGCACATCTGTCAAATGCCATAATATGGCGTCGAGTGATAAAACTATTTGTAACTTATATATGATATATATAACATATATATCTGTTATGCATAATCTGATAGCTTATTTAATAACTTTTCCATTGATATATGATTTTAATATACTTATTTAGTATATATATTATATACTTAGTATACTTGTTATATACTTACTTAGTACTTCGGAAAGTGCTCGACAGATGCACCATATTGGCCAAAATGACCCCGACATTTGAGTGGATATTAACAGCTTCGCTGCCGGCCTGACTATGGGGGTGGTTTGAGAAAATCCAAATTGTTTTTTTTATAATATGCGTTCGGCACATACCTAAAGAATATTTCAATAAATGTTTGACTATTATTACCATGTTTAACTATGAAGAAAAATTAATATTCCCGCAAATATGCGGGCCCGGCACTGGGGTTGAAATTTTCTATTCTAGTGCCGGGCCCGCAATTTAGCGGAGTGGCTTATTTTATGTATAATCGTATATTTATGTCATTTGGACACGACATTAATGTCCTTTTTCTTAATTCTAATACTCTTGAGAACAATAACTAATTTTTCACATAGTAAGCTTACAAAAATACAGTAAAAATTAAACACAGTAAAAAAAAACAGTTGAACAAAAAAACTTCTTCTTCAGCTTCTAACACAAAATAAAAATTCTAAAAATATCCTAATGAGATTATAAACAGAGCTGTAATATAATCCACAGCTATGATGTCAAAATAAAATAAAGTCTAGATGGACAAATGGAATTCGTCAAAACACTCAAAGCACAGACCAGGTTTGTCAATGCAAGTTTCGCAATGCCACATAGAGTCTCTCCGTATTTTTTGAGATTTTGAGCACATGCGGCACATCTTGCGCTTGATGTTTCCTTTGGAATTTCTCTCAGTTATTTTACTGATTTTGTGTGGCACTTCTCTGCTCGTTTTCGCTCTGCTTGGGCCGGTTGGAACAGACACTGCAGTATTTTTTTCAGGTAAAAGCTCATTTATCACAGCTAAGCGATAATCGTAGAGTGTCATTTTAGGTTTTCCAGAATATTTGTTGTACATTTTATAAGAGTTTATAAATAGTAGTTGAAAGGTGTGGATGGCTAACTTGAGATACCAGCGAAGAGTTTTTCTTTCGCACGGATAAAATGCGAGCAGTTGGTCTTGTCGGTCAACTCCTGACATAAACTCATTATATTTGGCAATAGTTGCAGGTTTTTCATTAATTTGGCCACGCTTATTAGCAACTGGTATCCTTATATCGTCATATTCCGTGGTGACGTACATCACTGGGCGCTTATCTTTCCATTTTCCGATGTGCACACATTCTCGAAACCTTGAAATGTTATCGCCTTTTTTTAGCATTTTTTGAACCACATCCTTTGGATTTTCTTTCAAATCCTTTCTTAAAGTTCCACTACAGTAAGTCTTATTATGTAAAAGACGTTTAGCCAAGTGGAAACTATTATAATAGTTATCCATATATAATGAGTGTCCATTGTGAAGTTTCTCCTCCATCAATTGCATTACAACCTTTTCGGCGTGCCCTTTTCCAGCAACATCATGGTCTTGGCTCCCAGCATATACTCGAAACTTCAAAATGAGACCATCAGGTTCAGTCAACATGTATAGTTTGATACCATACTTATGGCGCTTGTTTTTTACATACTGCTTGAATCTCAGTCGCCCTCTCCACAGAACCATGCTCTCATCCAACGACAGCTCTTTGCCAGGATAATAGCATGTATTCATTTTTTGGTTGAAATAATCAACGACACTACGTATTTTGTACAGTGGGTCATCATTCACTATCTCTGTCTCTGAGCTGAAGTGAAGACATCTCATTATTAGGAAATATCTATTTCTACTCATCTGTTGACCAAAAATAGGTATTGAAAATAACCGGCTCTTTTTCCAGTAATCTTGTAGTCGGGGCAGCTGAAAAGAACCCATGTGGAAAAGTAAGCCAAGGAATATTTTCAGTTCAGGAACGTCCACGTCCTTCCAATTAGTTATTCTTGATGATTCCGAAACACCGAAAAGAAATAACTTTCTGGCTTGAGCATTAGTTTTTTCACAAATCATTGCAAGGAAATCATCTTCAAAGAAGAAATTGAAAAATGCGATTGGAGTTGGGTCAGGCGCGCCAAAGAACTCATTTTGTTTAGTGAAATCAATTTTTTTTAGCTCACATGTCGTTGTCCATGAAGAAGTAGCTCCTTCCTCAGGTAGTGCTAATCTTTCTGGTTGTTGTATTGCTTCTAATGACGGACTCCTTCGACGAGTACGTTGCGACGCTAATTGTAAATCCATAGCCGCCATTTGCATAATATTTTGCCGCTCGATTTCCTCTTCATCATCATCTGATGACATGTCCTCAAGCTGGAAGTCATCATCAGAGTCGTTGCCCAAAAGCTGCTCTTCAATATCACTATCAGTTATCTTATAAACTGGCTCCATTTTCTTTCGTTTCGGCCGCGAGGGACCCGGTTGATCACTCATAATTGAACGCTAATTTCTTCAAATTAAAATTAAATTTTTTAAAACCACAACTTACACAACAATTTTGCAACATTCAAGCGCAGTGCCAACCTATAAACGTGTTGTCAAGAGCTGTGCCGGATGCGTACTGAGGCATACAAACTGAGCGGTGCTACTCCGCTAATTTGCGGGGTCGGCACCCCGCGCTCAGCCCGCCCCCGCAAATATGCGGAGTTGGCACTGAAGTTGTTAAAGCAGCATTAAGCTACTATTTTATGCTGGTATTCTGAGAGAGTGTGGTCCTTCCCCAATCAGACTGACCCATTTGTGCTAAAACTATACTGTTAATATAGATGCAACATGGCTCTACCATATATATAGTTGCCAAACTAGGAAAATAGTTTTTAATTTTAGTCCTTTTTTATTATGGTATAGCTTAAGTGACTTTCGATAAGTATTCCTGTAATTCTTACAGAATAAAAATGAGCCCGAGGGACTTGCAAGTGCAGATTAAATATTATTAATTGCATTAAGTGCAGAAAAAGTATTGACGGTGCAGTGGCGCAGTGGCTTAGCAGTTGCTGCGTTGGGGGCCGCGGGTTAGCATCCCGCATGGAACAAGTATTTGTATGGCCTACAAATAATTGTTCTGGGTCTAAATGTTTGTCCTTGTGCAATTTATGTTTGTAAACTGCCTCCTTGATACAGGAGAAATCTTAGTGTAATGGTAAGGTTTTTAAAAAAAATTCTGAACATCAAGCCCTCAATTTATTAATGAATGTCCTTAAGATTCAGGTGACCAGTCTCATTAGAGACTAGCCATCTATGCAGGACAGGATTACTTTGCATAAATGTGCATGCACAGGTGCACTCTCTATTCTGATAGAATTCGAAGAGATAAGGCAATCAACCAAGGATTTACTGGACTGGGTGAAATACCATCTACTTCCGAACCATTTGACCAGTAGTTGTGCTCATGAATTCGAGAACATTGAGACAGTCACTCCTCAATTTAATTGTTAATTAATTAACATATTGATATGCTTCAGGTGTGACCAAGGAAGCCACCGACTCTGACATTAAGAAATCTTACAAGAAGCTAGCTCTACAACTGCATCCTGACAAGAATCATGCACCAGGAGCCGCTGAGGCTTTTAAGGTAATGGAACTTTGGTTAAGATGTGCTGCCATCATTGATTAACATGGGCCACTCGGATGGACAATGTGGATCGGTGGAGTGTAGTCATATGCAGCTGTTCCCCGCTGTCGAAGCTCAAATCAATGTGGTCCTTTGCATACAATATTTACCTATGAAACTGAATATTTTAAAGAATGTTTCCAATTTCTCCGCTCCTCTCATAAACTTTCCCTTCGTCCTTAGAAAACCTTTTCCTTCTAAGTCCCTTGCACTCATCTACTTATCATAGTAAATATTTTTGAGTTCTTGGAGTGAAGCTTTGGAATTCCTTACCATTAACTATAAAACATGCTCAAACAATAAAATCCTTTAACAACCAAGTTTCTCCCTTCTCCTTTTATCTCTTCCTGCCGTTTTATGATCACTAGTCTGTCAATTAAGTAAATTCCGGCATGTTTATTAACTTACTTTTATATTTTAGATTATAATATTATTTATAGTGCACTCTACCCATTAATTAACTTTTCACTTATTTTTATTTCCTATTTAGGTTGTCTGGAAGAAATTGCTGCATAGCAATAAGACCGCCTTTTGTTTTTCTCTTTGTTTTTTCTTGTTATGTTATTTGTTTTCTTAGTGTACAATAAAGGATATTGTATTGAATAGATGTCCTACAAAACTGCAGATTTGTACTGTTTTTTTTGCAAAAAGAGATCTGCTTCATCAAATTTACATAAGGTGGCATTACCTTTCATATATTATTAGTTATTTTTAATTAATTTACTATTATTAACTTCTTTTTAAACTTAAAATTTATAATAATAATGGTAGTGTTGGGTTTCTGTACCAGGAAAAATATTAAACTCATCCTTATGGAAAATAATTATGCAATTAAAAACATAACTTGTAAAAAAAAACCAAGTCTCGCAACTCAGTTCTTCTACCGTAAAAAGTTGTGAGATCCATGTAATACCAAGTCGGTTAATTTATTCAGTTCCTACTTAAGGGTCCTTCTGTTTTAAGTTATTACGTAATTAGCTAACCTAACATTTTATAGTGACCACATCAATGTTAAAAGTCTTTTATGTTTTAAATATATAGATTGACTTGGCCATCGCATGAAACCACAATGTATCTCACAAGTAATACGTATTGTATTAAATTAGATTGCTTAATGCGATTGCCAAGTCAATCTATATATTTAAAATATAAAAGACTTTTAAAATTGATATGGTCACTATAAAATGTTGTTAGGTTAGGTAATTACGTAATAACTTAAAACAGAAGGACCCTTAAGTGGGAACTGAATAAATTAACCGACTTGGTATTACATGCATCTCACAACTTTTTACGGTAGAAGAACTGAGTTGCGAGACTTGGTTTTTTTTTACAAGTTATGTTTTTAATTGCATCTCATTTCTTTTTGTATATAAGATAGCTTAATTTTTTACCTTTCCAGTACCTTCTACTTCTTGAGTACCAACAACGTACCTATGTACACCTGTAATACATATACAAGGACACTAGTTCATTCACTGCAAATGTAACTTTGTAATTCTATATATTTATATGGGATTACAAAGTTATTTATGCATTTAGTGTATCTAGAAAACTGGACAGAAATTAACAAATGTTTTAGTTTTTCCTTGATTTATACTCTAAACACTAATTGCATTCTAAATTTGAAGCTTCTATGTCTGCTAGAAGTGCCTTAGAGTTTTGATGATCCGTCAGTCAGTGAGTGACAAAATTAAGAAAGTTTAACTGGTTACAATTCTCAAACTACTGGTTCAAATTGAATGAAATTTGAAATATACCATATCTATACAATGTTTACTTGGTTACTGAAAATTCAGGCTTCTAGTTTTATTGACCACGAAGTTATAGGGGGTCGAAAATGACCTGAACTGCTTCGAGAAAAGATGGTACGGCCGTGCCGCTTTTTTGCTCGACTTGGCGGGGGCACTGCCGTGCCCCCAGATATTAATATATGAACTACGAAAATTAAATTTAAAACAAAGTAGAAACAGACTATGAAGAACTAACTTTCAATAAAGTCATCATGTTGAATTTAACTATAGTCCATTCGCGTTTAGAAGTGAGATCGCTGTCCACTGGCCTAGCTATGCACCCATCCAATCAGGTAAGGCAAAAAATCTGAAAATCACGTCCAAAATATCAGATTTTGTGTTACACACTTTGTGTTACTTATATTTTAAAAATGAATACCTCACTTATTCATCCATACTAATATTATAAATGCGAAAGTGTGATTGTTTGTCCTTCTTTGACGTCGCAACAGAGCGTCGGCATGGCATGATTTTTTGTATGGGGATAGTTCGGTGGATGTAGAGTGACATAGGCTACTTTTTTTCCGCGGAAAAACATCTCATTCCCGTGGGAAAATCGAATATGTTGCACAAGTTTGTCCTTCTTTCACGTCGCAACAGAGCGTCGGCATGGCATGATTTTTTGTATGGGGATAGTTCGGTGGATGTAGAGTGACATAGGCTACTTTTTTCCGCGGAAAAATATCTCATTCCCGTGGGAAAATCGAATATGTTGCACAAGTTTGTCCTTCTTTCACGTCGCAACAGAGCGTCGGCATGGCATGATTTTTTGTATGGGGATAGTTCGGTGGCTGTAGAGTGACATAGACTATTTTTTTCAGCGGAAAAACATATCATTCCCGTGGGAAAATCGAATATGTTGCAAAATTAAATTCAGCTAGGTAGCGTCACCGTGATTCTACAAGACTGACGACGGTACGATGGACGAACACAGAAGGTCAGAATATCTGGATTATTATGTCTTTTTACCAAAATTAATATTAAAAATGTATGGATCTGTATTTTTCCACGCAGGACCGGGAAAACGTTTTCTTCAAACGTTTTGGTGCATTGTAATTCACAGAATAGGCGATAACCTCGCAGACGATATTAAGTAATCCGTTGATGCTCTGCCTACCCCGCAAGGGTTACAGGCGTGATTATAAGTATGGATCAGAAATGCTATCACCACCTGTCACGCTTTCACCCTTAACTTACCACAGTTAAGTAATACTGTGGTAGAAACAGTTCTTAGTAAGCCTTAGTAATATTTATTGAACGGAAATGAATACAGTTCTTATATGTGGTTATGAATGAATCGGTATTACAATAAGAAAAATTGTGCAAAATTATAAGAAAAATGTTTTTTGAGAGTTCTTATTAACTAACGTATACATAGTTTAAATTGATTCCGCTAGATGTCGTTACTAGGTTTTTAAAACGCGTTAACGAAATGTTTCCTGACATGTACTTAACTCCCGCCGTTGAGCCGCGCGTCAACTTATAGTGCATACGGTACCTATACGCTTAAATTGTTTCTATTTCGTAGTTTATTCGACTACCTGCTTTCGATTTCGGTTGTTTGTTATTTGCTTTGTGATTTGGTTAAGATTGAATGGATTTATATTGGCTTTCATTTTCGGATTTGTGTATTTTCTTGGATCGGTTTTGTTGATTTGGTTGGTATTCCTTTATACATATTTAGATTCTGGCTTTGATTTTGGATTTTGTTTATTTAGAATCGTGAATTGGTTTTGTTGTTTTGATTTCAAAAAATATTTAAAAGGAATATTTATTCCTTTTAGATATTTTGGATTTGCTTTTAAAAAAATATTTAAAAGGAAAATTAATTCCTTTTAGGTATTTTAACGTTTTTTTATAAGTAGGTTTTTTGTTACTTCATAATGCCTCGCAAACGTAAGTCCAGCCTTTCAAGAGTATCTTCTCAAAGACAAGCGAAAAGATTAGCTCCATCGCTAGAATTTTCAGAAGATGCTGAACTGAGAAGGCAAGAACAAGCAGAGCGTCAGGCTGCTTTTAGAGCATCTGAGACACGTTCTCAACGTCAGCAAAGGCGTCTTGAAAAGACAGTACGTCAGACTGCTTTAAGAGCTTCCGAAACACCTTCTCAAAGTCAGGAAAGACGTCTTGAACAGGCAGATCGTCAAGCTACTTTAAGAGCTACTGAAACACCTGCTCAAAGGCAGCAAAGGCGTTTTGAAAAGGCAGAGCGTCAAGCTACTTTAAGAGCTACTGAAACACCTAATCAAAGTCAGCGAAGGCGTCTTGAACAGGCAGAGCGTGAAGCTACACACTGCTCAAGTCAGAAAGGCGTCTTGAAAAGGCAGAGCGTCAAGTTACTTTAAGAGCTACTGAAACACCTAATCAAAGTCAGCGAAGGCGTCTTGAAAAGGCAGAGCGTCAAGCTACTGAAACATCTGCTCAAAGTCAGCAAAGGCGTCTTGAAAAGGCAGAGCGTAAAGTTACTTTAAGAGCTACTGAAACACCTAATCAAAGTCAGCGAAGGCGTCTTGAACAGGCAGAGCGTCAAGCTACTGAAACACCTGCTCAAAGTCAGCAAAGGCGTCTTGAAAAGGGGGTAAAGTTGAGCTTGATGCAGAGCGTCAAGCTACTGAAACACCTAATCAAAGTCAGCAAAGGCTATTCGAACAAGCGGAACGTCAGGCCGCCTTAAGACCCGCGGAAACACCTGATGAAACTCAACACAGACTCATTGAGCAAGCTGAACGTCAATCTACTATAAGGGCATCTGAAACACCAGAACAGACAGAGGCGCGAAGAGATGCAAATGCACAGGTCCAAGCTGAACGTCGACAAAATTTTCAAAGAAACAATTGGTCGATTTTTAATGACGCAGCATTCAATTATGATCCGTTGTTTGATTATAAAAATCACAGGTTAGTTGTTATCGGACTGATGCACAAGGCGTGTCGATTTTGCAGCGCTTTAAAATGGAAAGATGAGACCGCAGGCATGTGCTGTTCCAATGGCAAAGTGTCTCTTCCGTTACTTGGGGAACCAGAAGAACCTTTAAAAACTCTATTTTTATATGATGCTAATGAGTCACGGCGCTTTTTAAACAGGATCCGGAAATATAACTCATGCTTTCAAATGACGTCCTTCGGAGTTGACCGGGAAATAATGATGCCGGGATTTTCGCCTACATTTACGGTGCAAGGGCAAATTTATCATAGAATAGGTTTACTTTTTCCAGCTGAAAACGAACAGCATAAATTTTTACAAGTATATTTTATGGGTGACGAAGAAATTGAGGTAGACCGTCGTTGCCAATTTATCCAGGGAGTTGAGAGAGACACAGTGTTCAAAATTCAAAGATTCTTGCATGAACGTGCAACATTTAAATGCTGTAGAAAACCTACCTGAAGAGGATTATAAAGTCGTCATTCACGCAGATCGGACCCCTCGAGGAGAGCATGAAAGGGGCTACAATGCACCTTTGATAAACGAAATAGCAGCCGTAATTAGTGGTAATCAATTTTCTTCACGAGACATTGTCTTGCGAGCACGTGATGATAAGTTGCAACGGGTAGCCGATACACACAAGTTTTTATGACGCTCTTCAATACCCATTGATTTATTGCAAAGGACAAGAGGGTTATCATTTTCAAATTCCACTCATTAACCCGGTCACAAAGGAGCCTAATTAGGCGTCCCAGTCATGCTAATGCGAAATTTAGATGCTCCTCGGTTATGTAACGGGACAAGGCTGCGTGTGACACATCTTGGACGGAACATAATCGGTGCTACAATTTTGACAGGCGTAGGAAAATGTGAAAATGTTATTATACCACGGATCCCTATAATTCCCACAGATCTTCCTTTTCAATTCAAAAGGTTGCAGTTCCCTATTAAGCTCAGTTTTGCAATGACAATAAAGCGCAAGGGCAAACGTTACAGGTAGCGGGGGTCAACTTTTAATCAGAATTCCCACAGATCTTCCCTTTCAACTCAAAATTTCCTATTTAGCTCAGTTTCTTTTCAATTCCAAATGCTGCATCTCTGACGGACCTATTAAGCTCAGTTTCCTTTCAACTGAAAAGGCTGCATCTCTGACGGATCTTTTATTTGGCTCAGTTTCCTTTCAATTCAGAAAACTGCGTCTCTGACGAATCAATTTAGCTCAGTTTCTTTTCAAAAGTCTGCATCCCTGACGGATAATTATGCTCAGTTTCCTTTAATTAAAAAAATATCCCATTTCCATTTGGAATAAACAGGCTATTTTCATACTTTCCTATACGCTGCGTTTCAGAACATTTAAATAGGCTGACGAATCAATTTTGCTCAGTTTCTTTTTAATGGCTGCGTCTCTGACAAATCTATAAAACTCAGTTTTCTTTTAATTCAAAAAGCAATGGATAGTTCATTTTCCAGTGACCATGCGGGCGAAGCCGCGGGTAACAGCTAGTAAAGAATAAAATTGGATTGAAAATTCATAGTGGAAGAAAATAAATTACATATTTATAATGTTTTTTAATTAAGTTCTTTAAAATGTGTGATTTAAGTATTTCTGTGGAGAGCACAGTACTAAAAATAGCAAATGCATGTGCTGTGTTTTCGAACACAGCACATGCATTTGCTAGTTTATAAAATTATTAGAGAACAAAAGGAAAATAATATTATAATCACCAGAGAAAAAAACGAGTTCACAATTGATAAATTAGATAAAGTGAACTTAAAATATATTAACTAGCTGTGCATGTAACTTGGTATGCATCGTTTTTAATAATTTATTATTATGCTACTCTATTTAAATCGAATTGATCACAACTACATGAGTTTTAATTTTTTGCGTGAAACCCTAATTCTTTTTCTAAAAAAATATTGTTACTCCTTATTACGTCAGCCATCTGCCGGTGAATGTCCTATCGAAATAGGTCCAGCCATTTCGGAAATTACCCGGAACACACACACAGACAGACAATTTTTTTTAAATTGTTTTTCTTAGAAGTGCTGTATATACATTGATATGCATTTAGTAAAAAGCTATTATTATGTTAATTTGACATTACAAACACACACTTCAGTTTTATTTATTTGTATGTTGTTGTCATTTTAATTTGATATATTAAGTTGATTTTAATACATTAAACTGAATCTTTTCTAAAACAAATTTTTCGAACATTTTACTGCACTGTGAATACACCTTTACCTACTATCCTGCAGTTGCACTAATTTTTTTAATAGAATAAGGGTGACATACGAGCACACAGTCCACCTGATGGTAAGTGCATGCTGTGGCCTATAGACATCTACATCTAACCTCGATTAAGAATCAAAACGCAGATGCATTGTCACGCCTGAGGACTAAGATGAAATGCCTTGTTTTCATTAAAAAAGGGTCTCCGGATCTCTACACTCACCACACGAAACACAGCAGTATTAAGCTGCTATTTTACACTGGTATTCTATGAGAGTGTGGTCCTTCCCTGGTCGAGCCGACCTATTTATCCTCCAACCATAATATAGCTGCAGCGTGGCTGTACCACTATTTTGTTATTGAGAATGGACTATGATAACTGGGCAATTTATCTGAATCCTAGGGGATGACATACATCTGATTTTTTACTATTATATGATAAGAGATGGTGGTATCTAAAGCCTACTACATCTCACTATACTCACTGTCAGTAGACAGTGTGTATGTGTGTATTTTTTAGCTGTGTTATGTTTATTTTTCATTAGAATTTGTAATTGTATATTTTTCATTAGAGTTTAATTTATTTTACATTAAATTTACACATTGTTTTACACAGATTGTAGGATAGCAAACAAAATGTGATACAAAATATCATAATGCATAACATTTAAAAAAAACCCTTACACTATGATATCGTGGATTGTGGAGGTAGTTTACAAACATAATATTAAACAACTTTTTTTACGTATAATACATGTCCACTTATCTACAAGATAACTCACAAGCTTATTCACTCACACATAACATTCACAACAAAAAGGCAAATAACAAATATATAACCAGCCGAGCCAGCAATTTTGTGTTACCTGCCGTAAGAACAAACTATGGAAAAAATAACATAACGTTTGGGGGAGCACAGTTATACAATCAACTTCCAAAACATGTGAAAGAATCGACTTCGACAATCAATATTTTAAAAAGAAGATTATTTGAATATATTTATAATGATGAAACTATGCGTTAAATTTATACTTGGACCACCGCCTTATAGTTGATAGGAACACAATGAACTCGCTTCTTGGTTAACAATCGACCGATGTAATTTTTTTTACTACCCACACGCACTAGAATTATGATATAAATGTTATTGTTCTCATGTAAGTGGCAATTGTCTTAATGAGAAATAAAGTTCTGTAAGCCGAAATTGCACAAGGACACATATACAGACTCGGAACAATTATTTGTAGGCCATACAAATACTTGTTCCGTGTGAGATTCGAACCCGCGGCTGAATCAGCGCCACAACTCATTGCTCAGCCACTGCATTAGTATAGTATAGTGCATGAAGGTTAGAGAACAGGAGACCGATCACCGTAGAAAATAGTGTCCAGAAATATCATAAAGGTTAGAGAACAGAAGAACGATCGCCGTAGAAAATAGTGTCCCAGAAATATGGACACCATAAGTGAGGCGCTGCGATCGCTAAGTGCAGTCAATAAAAGTCATTTTGAGTCTATTTTTCCGATCAGATGCTCAACCACTTGCACATCCACGCACAATAAAATATTTCTCCATTTTTTAATGTTTCTTTTTGTCAAAAATTACAAAATTAGGGAGCATGAAAATTTTCTCATTAAAAATGAAATGAAAATTTGTACGTTATTGAACTAACTTCATCTACTTGTACTCATAAACAGTTAAATTCGCAGTCACTACTCACCGACGTCAGCGCCGTTATACATTCTACAATTTTCAAGGACAGGCGGGCTATGCTTTAGTACATAGTGATCGTTCTCCTGTTCTCTAACCTTCATGGTATAGTGTATAGTGTTAATAATAATAGTGGCTGTTAGTATTGTATGGAGCCATCCTGACTGGATCAGAATTGATAATTATACAAAGAGTAGTAATGTAGTTTGAAACAAACAAACAAAATAGGAGATGGATAAAACTCTCGGATTTTAAAACTCTCACAGTACGTTTACACCAAAACCGATTTTGTCGGCCGATGGCGGACAGAACTACCCGGACGAGTAACTCGGACGTGTATGTGCTTACACTGCAACAGTGTACCACTTGTGGCTTTGTGCCGACATTGGACGTTGCCGGTATTCTTTTATATTTTTATATTTTCAATATCCACAGTCGTTTAGGTAGATAACAGCATTGACGGAAACAACAGAATAGCAAAATGATTAAATTAAACTATAAATATACACTCAATTTGCACTGTAGACGCCGGCAGTCGGGCGAGAAATCCCAACAAGTTCCGACTCGACGGTTGATCGGCCGTTTTCGTGCGTTATCGGACGATGACGATCGTGTTTGTGTACGCGCTCTCTTTGTTTTACAAGTGTTTGATTCGATCGTTCGAGTTCGGCTGTCATCGCCCGACCAAACTTCGGCCGATGACAGGTTAGGTGTATGCGAAGCGTAAATAATGAAAAACTGCAATTGCTCCTAGTCTGCCAAGCGTACCAATTACTGTAAATACCCCCCTATGCAGTATTCTATGATATGAAAATTACTTCACAAAATACTAGCAACTATGGCAAATATCCCCCAATGTGGCAATCAATTGTAGGAAAATTACATCATTGCAATCTTGTCAATCCCCAGGCTATCGGTAATGCAGCAGCAATCCTGACCGACCCTGAGAAGAGGAAACAGTATGACCTGCGTGGTGAGGAACCGGTGCACTCGGGTCACGCACACCACCAGACGTATTATGCTCGCGGGTTCGAATCCGACCTTACCGCTGAAGAGTTGTTCAACATGTTCTTCGGGGCGACTGGTGAGTGAATATACAGTGTCTCCTGTCATAGACTTGGATGCAAGCTACTTATATTTTCCTTTAGGTATACAGTGGTGACGTACCATAATCAACCATTTCATTTAACATACTGATGATCTCTTCTTCAAAGAGATTTAATGGTCCAAATAACCACGACATTCCTGCCCACACGTACACGCACAAAATACGCTCTTGAGCTCTACGAGTTGTGGAAAATAGCCTGGCGTAGAGTAAAGTAAAAATAACCTAGTAAGGAATGGCTATACTGCTATCTGTCACTTGTCTTAAATTTTTTTTGAAATTTACCCAAGTCAGATATTTAGATACTTACGAAATGAAAGGGGGTGATAGTTTTTCTAATACCGCACCCAAACTTGTTGTTGTAGCACAAATAGTTCGGCTCGACCGAGGAAGGTCCACGCTCTCACAGAATACCAGCGTAAAATAGCAGCTTAATGCTGCTGTGGTTTATACAGTGAATGTAGAGAACTGGAAACCCTTTTTGGTACCCTAGTAATGTTACATTCCCCCTTAGTCCTCAGGGGTGTAATCAAGATTAGATGTTGATGCTTATGGGCCTCAGTATCCACTTACCCTCAGGTGGACTTTGTGCTCGTTTGCCACTCTTATTTTATAAAAATAAAACTGCAGTTGCCCAACTGCATTTTTTCTAAGTAAACAACAATTATTTAACAAACACATATTATTTGAATATTTTTTGAAATATTCTAACTTAAATAAGTGATTAAGAACTATACATGTTGTAATGAAATATAATTACATTACTTTATAATTATTGGAATTTATGTAAAAGGTTGTTTTAAATCGTGTGAGTACGCTCGTACAAAGTTATTGCGAAATGATTAATGTGAAACATCAAAAGGTCCTTCTTACATTTGGTTTAGTATAATAACAAAGTTTCAGAACGTGCTGAATAACACTTACGAAGCAGAAAGGTAAATTTCTTGACGGGCCCACGGTGTACAGTCGGCGGTTACTTAGTGTCGGTTGTTGTAGCGTTCCCGGGCGGGGGGCCCACGGTGTACAGTCGGCGGTTACTTAATGTCGGTTGTTGTAGCGTTCCCGGGCGGGGGGCCCACGGTGTACGGTCGGCGGTTACTTAGTGTCGGATGTTGTAGCGTTCCCGGGCGGGGGGCCCACGGTGTACGGTCGGCGGTTACTTAGTGTCGGTTGTTGTAGCGTTCCCGGGCGGGGGGCCCACGGTGTACAGTCGGTGGTTACTTAGTGTCGGTTGTTGTAGCGTTCCCGGGCGGAGGGCCCACGGTGTACGGTCGGCGGTTACTTAATGTCGGTTGTTGTAGCGTTCCCGGGCGGAGGGCCCACGGTGTACGGTCGGCGGTTACTTAGTGTCGGTTGTTGTAGCGTTCCCGGGCGGGGGGCCCACGGTGTACAGTCGGTGGTTACTTAGTGTCGGCTGTTGTAGCGTTCCCGGGCGGGGGGCCCACGGTGTACGGTCGGCGGTTACTTAGTGTCGGATGTTGTAGCGTTCCCGGGCGGGGGGCCCACGGTGTACAGTCGGTGGTTACTTAGTGTCGGATGTTGTAGCGTTCCCGGGCGGGGGGCCCACGGTGTACAGTCGGCGGTTACTTAGTGTCGGTTGTTGTAGCGTTCCCGGGCGGAGGGCCCACGGTGTACGGTCGGCGGTTACTTAGTGTCGGATGTTGTAGCGTTCCCGGGCGGGGGGCCCACGGTGTACAGTCGGCGGTTACTTAGTGTCGGCTGTTGTAGCGTTCCCGGGCGGGGGGCCCACGGTGTACAGTCGGCGGTTACTTAGTGTCGGTTGTTGTAGCGTTCCCGGGCGGAAGGCCCACGGTGTACAGTCGGCGGTTACTTAGTGTCGGTTGTTGTAGCGTTCCCGGGCGGGGAGGCCCACGGTGTACAGTCGGCGGTTACTTAGTGTCGGTTGTTGTAGCGTTCCCGGGCGGGGGGCCCACGGTGTACAGTCGGCGGTTACTTAGTGTCGGTTGTTGTAGCGTTCCCGGGCGGGGGGGTCCACGGTGTACAGTCGGCGGTTACTTAGTGTCGGTTGTTGTAGCGTACCCGGGCGGGGGGCCCACGGTGTACAGTCGGCGGTTACTTAGTGTCGGTTGTTGTAGCGTTCCCGGGCGGGGGGCCCACGGTGTACGGTCGGCGGTTACTTAGTGTCGGTTGTTGTAGCGTTCCCGGGCGGGGCGCCCACGGTGTACAGTCGGCGGTTACTTAGTGTCGGTTGTTGTAGCGTTCCCGGGCGGAGGGCCCACGGTGTACAGTCGGCGGTTACTTAGTGTCGGTTGTTGTAGCGTTCCCGGGCGGGGGGCCCACGGTGTACAGTCGGCGGTTACTTAGTGTCGGTTGTTGTAGCGTTCCCGGGCGGGGGGCCCACGGTGTACAGTCGGCGGTTACTTAGTGTCGGTTGTTGTAGCGTTCCTGGGCGGGGGGGCCCACGGTGTACAGTCGGCGGTTACTAAGTGCCGGTTGTTGTAGCGTTCCCGGGCGGGGGGGTCCACAGTGTACAGTCGGCGGTTACTTAGTGTCGGTTGTTGTAGCGTTCCCGGGCGGGGGGCCCACGGTGTACAGTCGGCGGTTACTTAGTGTTGGTTGTTGTAGCGTTCCTGGGCGGGGGGCCCACGGTGTACAGTCGGTGGTTACTTAGTGTCGGCTGTTGTAGCGTTCCGGGGCGGGGGGCCCACGGTGTACAGTCGGCGGTTACTTAGTGCCGGTTGTTGTAGCGTTCCCGGGCGGGGGGCCCACGGTGTACAGTCGGCGACGACTAAGTGCCGGTTGTTGTAGCGTTCACGGGCGGGGGGCCCACGGTGTACAGTCGGCGACGACTAAGTGCCGGTTGTTGTAGCGTTCCCGGGCGGGGGGCCCACGGTGTACAGTCGGCGGCGCGCGCGTGAGCCGGAGCCGCGGGAGGCGGCGGGCGGGCTGGTGCAGCTGTTGCCGGTGCTGGTGCTGGTGCTGCTCTCCATGATGTCCGGCTTCTTCATCAGCGAGCCCGTCTTCAGCCTCACGCCCAGCGCCAAGTACCCGATACCCAGGGAGACCGTCAACTTGAAGGTGGGCATATTTTCTTTCTTTATAATCGACATATTACACACATTACAGATTAATTTTGCCGTGCCGTGTAGTGGCGGTTGAGAATATCCACTACCCCATATCTTCCCGTGGGTGTCGTAAGAGGCGACAGAGGGAGACAGGCAGGAGATGGGTAGCAGCATCTTCCTGATAACAACTGTGTTATAATAAAAAACTGCGGTTGCCAACCCGCTCGCCAAGCGTGGCAACTATGGCAAATATCCCCCCATGAATAATGACGCAAAATAACGCCCCTCAGTCCCCGGCGGCCCCGCTATTCCTGGATACGGTGGCGACCATGGTAACGGCGGGGCAGGGGGTGCTAAGAATCTCCGGTGGAGGTTCGGTTGCCACCTACGACGACTCGACCTGGCAACATATAACGCACGCACCCTGAGGACTGACGAGAAGATACTGAAGCTGTTAGAAGAGGTAGACAAGTTGCGCTGGCATATTATTGGATTATCCGGGGTCCGAAGAGAGGGGGGAGGATACGGCAATCCTCGAGTCCGGCAACATGTTCTACCACCAGGAGGGCGACCATCTGTCCCAAGGAGGTGTCGGATTTATCGTCCACAAGTCTCTCGTCAACAACGTTGTAAAGATTGGGAGTGTGTCGACGAGGGTCGCGTACCTGATACTCAGAATCACCAAACGGTATTCGCTGAAGGTCATACAGGTTTACGCACCAACCTCGGCACATCCCGATGAGGAGGTGGAGGAAATGTATGAGGATATTTCCAGAGCCATGCATTCCTCCAAAACCCACTACACGGTGTTGATGCGAGACTTCAACGCAAAACTGGGCACAAGAGAAAGCGGTGAGCTGAAGGTAGGGAAATTTGGAGTAGGGCAACGGAACCGAAGGGGCCAGCAGCTGGCCGACTTTATGGAGAAAGAGGGACTCTTTATGATGAACTCTTTCTTCCAGAAGCGGCCCCACAGGAAGTGGACCTGGTCGAGCCCCGACGGTTCGACAAAAAATGAAATTGACTTCATTATGACGACTAGACGCCAACTGTTCAGTGATGTCTCAGTAATCGCAAGGGTGAAAACTGGCAGCGATCACCGAATGGTTAGAGGCACACTGAACCTAAAAGTTAAGTTGGAGAGGTCTCGTCTAATGAAGTCAACGCTCCGTCCCCCCTCGTGCTCTAATCCAGAATCCCGAAACCTTTCAGCTCGAGTTACAAAACCGCTTTCAGTGCCTAGAGGATTGCAATGCAGTGGACGATATGAATGACAAGCTCGTGGAAACTGTCCATGCGGTCGGAGCTAAGTTCTGCAAGACCCGCCGCAGAAGAACACAAAACTCTCCGATCACACTCTTAATCTCATGGCTGTTAGACGGGAGATGAGGCAGCAATGCGTCAACAGATTTGACAGCATACAGGCAGCTGAACAGACAGATCTCCAAATGCATGCGGCGAGACTTACGCAACTTTAATACTGCTCGTATTAAAGAAGCGATCGAGCGGAACCAGGGCTCCAAAGTCTTTGCCAGAGATCTGTCTGCCAGAAGGAGCCAACTGTCAAGGCTGAAGACTGAGTGTGGCAACATCGTTTCGGGACACCTGAGATTCTGAGTGAGATTGAGAGGTTCTATGGGCAGCTGTACACATCATCGTTGGAGCCACACGCAAGTGTGAGTAACGATCCAAGAGCAAGTCTTATCCGACACTATTCCGATGATATCCCGGACGTCAGTCTGAGCGAGATTAGAATGGCTCTCCACCACCTTAAAAACGGCAAGGCCCCGGGCGAGGATGGAATTACAGCGGAGCTTCTGAAAGCGGGTGGAACACCGGTACTTGAAGTCCTTCAGAAGCTCTTCAATTCCGTCCTCCATGGTGGCATTACTCCGGAGGCGTGGAGCAGAAGCGCGGTGGTCTTGTTCTTTAAGAAAGGCGACAACGCTCTCTTGAAGAACTACAGACCGATTTCCCTTCTGAGCCGCGTCTACGTGCTGTTTTCGAGAGTCATTACGAATCGTCTCGCACGCAGATTCGATGACTTTCCAGCATCCCGAACAAGCCGGTTTCCGAAAAGGCTTCAGTACCATAGACCACATACATACCCTTCGGCAAATTGTACAGAAGTCCGAAGAGTACAATCTGCCACTTTGCCTGGCGTATGTGGACTATGAGAAAGCCTTTGATTCCGTCGAAATTTGGGCGGTGCTACAGTCTCTTCAGCGGTGCCTAGTTGACTGTCGGTATATTGAAGTGCTGAAGTGTTTGTACAGTAGGGCTACGATGGCTATCCGAGTACAGAGCCAGAGTACGAAACCTATCCAACTGCAGAGAGGTGTAAGACAGGGTGATGTTATATCCCCGAAACTCTTCACCGTTGCGTTGGAAGACGTTTTCAAGCTACTGGACTGGAAAGGATACGGTATTAACATCAATGGCGACACTCACCTTCAATTTGCCGACGATATAGTCCTTATGGCAGAATCGCTGGAGGACCTTAGCACTATGCTCAATGACCTCAATGGTGTCTCCCAACGGATAGGTCTTAAGATGAACATGGACAAAACAAAGATCATGTTTAATGTCCATGTCACACCTATGCCGGTAATTGTTGGGAGCACTATGCTCGAAGTTGTTGACGAGTACGTTTACCTGGGACAAATAGTCCGACTAGGTAAGTCCAACTTCGACCGAGAGGTCAATCGACGGATTCAACTCGGCTGGGCAGCGTTCGGGAAATTACGACACATCTTCTCGTCAGGTATACCTCAATCTCTGAAAACTAAAGTGTACAACCAGTGCGTGTTGCCAGTGATGACTTACGGATCTGAGACGTGGTCCTTCACCGCTGGCCGTATGAGGTCAAGGTCGCTCAGCGAGCTATGGAGAGGGCTATGCTCGGAGTTTCACTGCGTGATAGACTCAGAAATGAGGATATCCGCAATGAAACCAGAGTGACCGATGTAGCCCAACGGATTAGTAAGCTGAAGTGGCAATGGGCCGGCCATATAGCTCGAAGAACCGATAACCGATGTGGAAGAATGGTTCTCGAGTGGCAGCGTCGTACCGGTAGGCGTAGTGTAGGGCGACCCCCACTAGATGGAGTGACGACCTGGTAAGACATGCAGGAAGTCGATGAATGCAGGTGGCTCAGGACCGTGCTTTGTGGCTTTACTTGGGGGAGGCCTATGTTCAGCATTGGACTTGTGAAGGGCTGTAATGATGATGATAATGATGATTACAGATTAATTACTTAGGCCGATTTTAGAGCTCGACCGACCGTCGGTGCGTACGTCGGTCGCGCTTGCCTTTTGTATGAAAATTCACAAGTCGTTACAGTGCTCGACCGACCGTACATACGCGTATATAGCTACGTAGTGCGTACGAGGACCGTCGGTCGAGCGCGTCCGCTTGCGTACCGTCGGTCGACCGACGCGCTATGGAAACATATTGACGCGTTCAGTGCTACACCGACCGTGCGGATGCGTGTATCATCGTCAAGAAAATCGAACCTAAACTTTAATAATATTGTATGATTTTATAGGTATTAAGTAGTGTTAGTGATATAACTAATTTTTATCAAACATGACATATGTCGACACCGAACGCCTCGCGGATATTTTAGGTTGTCTTGTAATTCATCAAAACTTTTGATTGACATTCTAAAGTAATTTAAAAAAATCTTCTTCATCTTCGCGCATTAATGAATATAAAGTAGTAAATTCCCCCTTGAAGTGCTCTTTGGGCGACGATTGGGTGAACCTGATATCTACGTATTCTGTTCCTTATACATTTACGAACATAGTAACCAGCAATTAAACAATTTGTAAACACGGCTCGTGTGGGACTACCGGATTTCGGCTCAGGAGAGCTCTGCACGCTACAAACTGACGATCGGTTAAGCGTATCGTCGGGACCGATGGTACGCACCGACGGTCGGTGGAGCTCTAAAACCGGCCTTACGGCTTTCTTCGTCCGTAAATATTATTTTTACTTTTACCACTGTCAATATTTATTAATACTATCAATAAATATCGATACCAAGTTATGCAGTCTGCAGGTAGCCGTAATAACATAACGACCTGTTGATCCTAATTGACCTGACTAATCTTTTGATATGAGATTGCTCATAAATATGATATTTGCAATTGACTATAATTTTACAACAACATTTTAATCACAAATTATGCGGATAAAGAGTTGTAATGTTACAGAAGACTTTGACTCCAGTATATATGTTATTGCTGGTCAAATCAAGTTGTGATTCTTTAAGTCGACATACTTGTTTTGACCATCCTATAAAAGCCGCCTCATTTGGGTTTATATTCATTATAATTTTCATAGTTGTAATATTTAACCTATTTAAGGAAGTCAGTATTGCACTGAACTACTCGATTGACACGTGCACCTACAACTAGCACAATAAATGACGTCTGGTTTATTCAATTCTATCCGGAAAGTACTCTTACAATGCTCACGGAATTATATGAGTTAGTGGACTCTGTACGACGCCTCTACACGGCATTATAATTTCACTAATCAAGTTTTCAAACTGTCCACTCGTCATATAAATTTCATAAAAACCTGCGGTGGCCCACCGCTTGCCAAGCGTGCCAGCTATGGCCGATACTGAACGCAGGCCTCCCTCATAGGGGTAATCCTTATAGGTGGGTCTATGCTAGACGAGCCGAGCATGAGCGGAGCACAAATGCGTATAGTGTGAACCGACTTAGAAGCCTCTTTTTAGCTAACTGAGCGTTTGGTTCTGCCTATTGTCGGTATTTTGACGAACACAAGGGGATTTGCATCGCGTGCATCGATTTGCATGTTGTAGGCTCGTTGTACGTCCACAGTTGACACCGCGAGTAGAGCGGCTCAGCTCGTGCTCAGCTCGTGCTCAGCTCGTGCTCAGCTCGTGCTCGGCTCCTCTGGCGTAGACCCAGCTTATGAGAGAGGCCCATATTCAGTAGCGCTATTTAATAGACTGTAATGGTGATAGACCAATAACTGTATTGTATCCCGTGAGCATTAGCCGATACCGTAGCTAGCAAGTTTTACAATACTAATATTCCCTTTAACCATGCATTAAGCTTAAATGCTTAAATATAATGATTTCTTATATTTACGCGAACACTACACATTTAATTAAATAAAACTAGTTGATACGGGTTTTATCGCGTATGTTAATTTTTTTTATATTTCCGACGTTTCGAGCACTTTACCGCACCCATGGTCACGGGGACCTACACAGAGAAACCTATAGACTAATAGATTAGCGTGGCCTCGAGTGAGGAAGGACGATAACGTAGTTTTAGGTTATACAATAATCGTTATGACTTTTAAACATATTTAGATAAAATTTTTAATTGTTCTAAGAACTGAACTGAACAAGATTCACCAATCTTAAGCTCACAATACACTTTTTTTCTCACTTCAACCAACTTCAACCAACTCCTTAGATCGCTACGAACTGTCAAAGTTGTTTAGCAAAGTGTAGTTTGCCAAACAAAAAAACCGGCACGGAGAAAGGCACAAACAAACACACCGCTCTGTCTCATTTCCATGCAAGACGTATGCATAAATCTATCTTTTTCGTGTGTTAATGCGAAAGAAGGCGTCAATTTGTCTATAGGTTTTTCTGTCTACGCACGGGGAGGACTGAGATGTTCAACGTTCAGATGTCATAGTTAACCGCGGTTACCCACGGTTGTTAATTTTCATTCCGATCTACACGGTATGAACTTACAGTATCTTGAAGTCCTGCAGTTGTATGCTTGATGTTGAACATCTGGACGTTGAACACGTCAGTCACCATGGGTGCTGTAAAGTGCTAGAAACGTTGGAAATATTTAAAAAAAAAGTTAAGATACGCAATAAAGTCCGTAAAAACTAGTTTTCCCTTGTGGGTGCTGCTAACACAGCACACATACGTCGCCCGTGTCAATGTATATTATGTAATTCGCATGAAATACGATAACGACCGCCGCCAGCGGGACGGCAGTCTGTAAGTCGGTAAGCTAGAGTGCAGTAGGCAGTTCCTTTCTAAGTGTATCATGTGAACACGCGTCCCTGATGTAGAAAATAAATAAACTACAACATATGTGAACAATCACTTCATTTTCCTCCCTACACAAGCCCCTAAGATATACTAGCCACAAAAACGTTCACAAGAACCTTTATATGTTTACTTTAACTTAAGAAAACCTATTCGAATTGTATGAAAATAATCCGAACTGCGAACCTATTTAATCAATTTTTAAAACGATAAATCATATTGTTATCTAAATTCCAGATACCATACTATGTGAAAGACAACTTCCACACCGACTACCAAGGATCCTTAAGGCGACTCGAAATGTCCATAGAAGAGGAGTTTTTAGGTAATTATATTATTAACTTATTTTTACATAAGAAAGTGAAGTCGTAGTTATGCTAGTTATAAATATCTGCAACAAAACACACGCACGACCGAGATAGAACTGACTTGAAGCGAGAGTAGCCTAATGGCAGGGCGCGGACCGCGAACTCAAAAATGGTCGTGGGTTCGAATCCGTCATTCGACTACCGGCGTGAACCACTCGTAACGCAAGCAATTTAAGCTTGCCACGGTTAAGGGAAATATTAGTAATGTTTGTAGCATTGTTAATATTCCTTAAAAAAAAAAAGAACTACACTCTCACAGAATTAGACTGTTTTATACGTGGTAGAGCCACGCTGCAGCTATATTATGGTTGTAGCACGAATGGGTCGGCTCGACCGGGGCAGGACCACGCTCCTACAGAGTACCAGCGTAAAATAGCAGCTTAATGCTGCTGTGTTTCGTATGGTGAGTGTAGAGATCCGGAGACCCTTTTTACTGGAATTGAGGCATTCCGTCTTAGTCCTCACGGGTGAGAACATATCTGCATTTTGATTATTAACTGAGGATAGATGTAAATGTATATGGGCCCCAGCATCCACTTACCATCAGGTGGACTGTGGGCTCGTTTGTCACCCTGTCCTATAAATGTCCTGCCAGCCTGTGTCAGTTTCCTTTTCTCGCCTCTTACGACACCCACGGAATTATAATAAGGCAAGGGATTTTGGATGAACTATTTACCGTTACCTATAGATTGATTGCCTCATATATAATTATATACCATAGTTGCCAGGGTTGGCAACCATCTGCTGCCCATCTCCTGGTTTTTTCCCCTCTGTCGCCACTTACGACACCACTACCCCTATATCTTCCCGTGGATCAACTATTTATGTACAGGTTTTTGACACAGTTTTTATCGGGAGGTATGACTGCTCTTATATTTATAAGTTTTCTTTATAGGATAGGGTGACAAACGAGCACACACTGCACCTGATGGTAAGTGGTTGCTGTGGCCCATAGACATCTACATGTATACGCGATTACGAATCAAAATGCACATGCGTTGTCACCCGTGACGTCTAAGATGAAATGCTTCGTTACCAGTAAAATCGGTCTCCGGTTCTCTACGCTTACCATACTAAACACAGCAACATGAAGCTACTATTTGACGCTGGTATTCTGTGAGAGTGTGGTCCTTCCCCGGTCGAGCCGACCCATTAATGCTACAACTATACTACTAATATTTGTTCTCGGTAGGCATCACTCTTTTAACTATATCTACCGCATGCAAGCAGCGTCGCACGTACAGTCTAGTACAGAGAACCACTTTAATTACTGGCTGTGGGACATTCCATCTTAGTCCTCAAATTCACAATTGCAAGAAAGGTTCCCAAGTGGCCGGACTGGATGTCGATGATGCAGGAAGTTGATGGATGCAGATAGCCCAGGAGTGTTCTTAATGACATTACCTTTTTAATTTCTTGGTATAGGCTGTTATGTTCAGCTGTATAGTACGTGCCAAATCGATCGAGAAAAACTGACAATGACCTCAGATATGAGCCGAGTGTCAAAAGGCGTAACTTACAAAATCTCAATTTAGATGTGATAACAATATTTAAATATTGATATTTCACACTTCTTAGGTCAGCACACATATGTTTTGTTTTCTTAAATAATATTGTCTGTGGTTTCTATAAACATCGTAAAATCTTCGGTACATCGCGAAAAATGTGTTATATTTTATATTTCAATTTATGGTAAGTAACGCAGCAATTTATTTAATAACAGTTTCATATTTAAAAAAAATTATTTGAAGCAATATAATCACCATATTGCGCTTTTGCAAATTTACCCTTTTAAAATAAACAAAACGCGCGTGACGTCAGTTCGTTCTAAAAGAAACGTGACAATGGCAGCCAGAAATCCGTCACTTTTTTTGGGTCAGTCCGCATGCATCGAATAAAAATGAAGTTCTTATACAATATTGAAAATAAAGTTTTATCTTTTGAATAAGTACGTACTTATTCGGTGTCGTTATCACTCGAATCTTTATATGTGTTTTAAATTAATACTTTCTGTTGTTAAATGAACAAAGTACTTTATAACAATAGATGATTTTTCTTTTACAGCGATCTTTTGCATAACTTAAATAATAGTTAATATTAAAAAAATATAAAAAAATCATTATAAATAAAGAAAGTACTACATATAAAATGTGCCTATATATTGAAGGTTTGTAACCCCTGGTTAAACAACCGAGAGGTCATTGTCCGTTTTTCTCAATCGATTTGGCACGTACTATAGACTTGTGATGGACTGTAATAATGATGGTGATGATGATAAATCCATCAGTCATCTAAGGTAACATACCTGTAGCGTTCTTTGTTTGCAATTTATTTTAGGCGTCCATGAGTAATAGCCACTAAACATTTGATGGAGTGTAATATCGTTTGTCTGTGACTGTGTTACCAGTGAACCTACGTCACGCGTGTCAGCGGGAGCGCAACTATCGCGACAGCATGGCGTGGAAGGCTCGGAACTTTGGCGACTCCAAACAGTACGCCGACGCGCAGCGGCTGCGGACCCCCAGCTGCGAGAAGCTGCAGAATCTGCAGCGATAAGAGCTACAGTGTACGCGCTCAGAATGCAACACATCGTGTTTGAAATATTGCAAATGTATTCTGTAATTATTTATTATGTTAATGCGAACACTACCCATTTAAAGGAAACTAATTTTATCCGATTTTATCGCGTATAATTATTTCAAATTACAGCAACCATGGTCAAGTTGGGCGGGGAGGGGGCTGAGGTGTACAACGTCCCAACTCAGCCCCCCATGACCAAGACAAAATCCGTAAAAATAAGATTTTATTTGTATATATGTGTATATGTATCCTATGTTTAATATCCATTATAGCGTATCTGCGGACTTCGTTCCCCATTTAGTCGATGTCGTTACAAAATTGATCACATTTATTAATCGTTTGATATATTTATAACTGAAACACAGTTGTGGGTTCGAAAATACGACACGTGTTTAGCCTCGAAACGGGCCCACAACGGGTCATACAAACCGCGATAGGCGAATTAGGCAGTAGGAAATACTCAACATGCTGTTAATACGCGATTCGCCTCAAAGTGAGGCGTTAACGATAACAGGATATTCACATACGCAATAGGAAACTGTAGGCAAGAAAATATGACACGTGTTTCGCCTTAAAACGGGGCAACATTACGATCTCACAATTTTAACACATTATTTGTGTGGTAAAATTGCAGGATCACACTAAATAAGGCATCTGTTTTCAAAGTTATCCTAAACTTATAGAAAATAAAAATAAAAAAGTACTTTGTGAAATATAACATTTCCACTATACTGATGAATACTTAAGAATGAAATCAAACTTGTTTTAAAAACCTTCACGTTAATCACTGTATTCTTATTTATTGATATAGTTTAAACTAAAATTGCTGTTACTAAATTTTGAAAACCAGTATACATCGGTTTGAGAAGTGGTCGATAGAACTGTTCTTAATTCGTTAATAATAGCCATTACTTTATTATGAAAGTAAAGTAGTTTCAATTAAAATATGTTATATTGATATAATATTATTTTTCGACTACATCACGGCTTCTTAAACTCGAGACGGTGCAGATGAAACTGTTCAGGACTTCTCAGGACCCCTCTAAAAAGCAAATACCTATGTCCTAGGAAAACATTACTGTTGGCAACTTTAGTTCAAATGACTTTTCAAATGCACGCATTATTTTTAACTTCCACATTACATCACGACTAAATAAATATTATCTTTAGATCAAAATAATGTCACATTCACTGGTCACAGCCCGTAGAGAAAAGAGGAAGGCATTGTTAATCATATGACAAATTTCCTATAGCACGAACACAGTTTCAAGACCTTACAGTTGTGAACCGCTCTTGAAGTCAGACGATGCCGCCGCCCGAATAAGTATCCACGCGGCAAGTGTCTATGCTAGCGGTTGTCACGAAATTGGAAATAAAATTCTTGTTGTATTACAATACTCATTGTCATTTATTAACATTATGTACATACCTACTTATAAGTTAAAAACGTTTAATGAACAAAATTATTTTTTATTACTACAAGTAAAATCACGACTTGGACTATCCATCGACTTATAGTACCTTACTTGGCGGCAGCCTTTAATTCTCAACTGCGATGAGTACGTGAGGGGCTGTGCTCCGGACAAGTCAGAGATCCAAAGAGCCAAGAGGAGCATCAACAGAGATATGATAACCGGATGAGAGCTCAGCGAGAAGCATACATAGTACAAGTGTTGCACTGCCAAATATTTTCGTGACACTTTCTTTTTAAAGATTTCTTCAGTTTTCGATGGTTGAATTTAATTATGTAATGTATTCGCATTCGGATTAACAATTTTATCAACAAAAAATGAAGGAAACGTAAGCACGGTCGTAATTTGAATTCAATTTTACTTAGTAACTTATACAACTATAAAATTGCACTTAAAATTAGTTAAATAGGTACTATAAACCACGCTCGCGCCAACCGCATGCATTGTCTATCAGACAGTGAAGTGCGCTAGCACAAGGTCGGCCCGCCCCGCAGTGCAACCACCATTGCTCTGCACAAGTACATTCGTTTCCCAACTTTAAAGTCTTTACACTGTGCTACTAATGAAAACAACTTGTTTTTGATTTTTAATAACAAAAACTAATATTTGGAAAATCCAAAAGTGCACGCCTCATGAGCGTTTAACTTTTATGAAAAAAAAAAATTGTATTCCTGACTTAATATGCATTATTGTTGTGGTTTAAATTTAGCACTCTATTATTTTAACACGTAGTGTCACCTACAGGGGAAAGATGAATAATGCTTACAATAGTAAATCGATTGATTACAAAAAGCATAAAATCGATATAGGCTGTATGGTACATTGGTCCCTTGTCTACCAAGGGCTAAAATATGAAAGCGTTTTTACATTTTTAATAGCAATTAAACTTATAAAAATTGAAAATCATTTTATTAACAAACTATACGTACTAAGTTATTGATATGATATAGGAGACCAATTGATGTAATTCTGAAACTAATAAAAAATCCCGGTTTTATTACGTCATTTTTGTCGGGAGTTATCGTGACCACATACAAATTCAATATCCGGACATCCACATAATTTTTTTTCAAAGTAGCAATATAAAATCATTTTTTATAAAATATAAGATGGATTTATTAGAGTTTTCTTGATATACGGCTGCTCATATTATCGTATAAGTGCAATATGGTTATGATAGAAGCATTTTAAGAACACAAAATTGTTTGACCTTGACGTGTCGTGAGTAAAGCACTACCTATTAACGCTTTGCGTTATGAGTAGTGATCAGATAATCGGATGCATATTTACCTAAAGTGTAGGTGTTGGGTATTATGGAATGCACTTTACTTTTGTATCGAAAAAACCCCGGGATTACGGAATCGACAAATTTAGTTATTTTTAACTATAGAATTAAATTGGGTGTAGATATATTTACTTATTTTAAGGTGTTGGATAATACGGAAGGCACTTATGTATCGAAAAAATCCCGGGATTTTGGAATCGGCAAATTTACTGTTTTTATTATAGAATGCCAAATCGGGTGTAGGTATATTTACTTATTTTTTTTTATATATATATATATATATATATATATATATATATATATATATATATATATAACATCTTCCTCCTTTTTTTTTAAATTAACACCCAATGTTTTTTTTTTTCAACAAATACCACATGCTGTAGTCGACGTTTCCTCACCGTGGTACAGCCTATTTTCGGGTATTCTGTATCTTCTGGAATCCCTGGATTTATTTTTAGAAAAATATGGTCTAATAAGCCGCTTTCTTAATTTCCTAGCCAAAAATGAACTTTAGGTAAATATGCATCCGATTATCCGATCACTAGTTTGAGGCGTGCAATATCAATGCTGAAACTTTAATTACATTCTTCTGCCTACTTGGTGACCTTTATTTGCAATCACACAATTATTTTTAACTTTGAAATATATTATATAATTGAGTTTATTTTCACATTTTCTTATAGGTAATTAAATTCTTATAAAATAGCACGTAATAAATGCACCCTTTTCTCTGTGAATATAATATGGAATTAAATAAGACTGCGGGTTGAGATACACAGACCAAAAATTTATTTAAGTTTTTTTTTGGTGTTTATATTATGGTGATCATTATGTTTTCTTTAAAGACAAAAGGACTAAAGCTTCTGTTGTGATAGAATCTGAACTCTAATGATATAGAATCTGGCATTTAGACCAGAGTATATTGCGACACAGATTTACCTTCTCCGCGTTTGCAGTCATGTTTTATTTGTTTATTGCTAAATTTAAAATAGGTTGATGGGACTGCTGTTTTTTTTTTTTTAATTACAGCAATATGTTGTTATAGTTACGTCATAATATTAAATCGCAATAAATATATTATTTAGAACTAAAAATTGTTTGATTTACGGCATTCCTCAATGTTATTTACCTGTCTTTTTTATCAAATCAAATCAAATCTTTTTATTTTCAGACAACATAAGAGTTAGTAATTAATTCTAATAGTAAGGGGGTAGTAGTACTATATTATAATAATAATATAGTACTACTAACACTTTAAAGTAATCATAATATACTCTCTCAACCGACACTCATAGGGAAGGCAAAGTGTATGTACTGATGCGCGCCATAATTAATGTCACTAGCACCATCTAGTATAGAGTAGCAGCACTAGGAGAAGCTTTCTAGAACTTCACCACTGGCGCCATCTAGTATCGAGTAGCAGAACTAGGAGAGTTTTCTAGAAAATTCCTTACTAGAACTTTCTACACCTAGTCGGTCGGGACCGGTATGTACTGGAACATTCTAGATGTTTCAGTAGAAAAGGTCCTATACATAGGCTGCACTAAAAGTATCGGGAATGGAATATTTCCACTGTTCCTTTCATATTGTTGCGCGCCTAAGTTGACGTCTGGCACTAGCGCCATCTAGTGTCGGGTAATAAAGCGAGGAGAGCTTTTCAGAAAATGACATGACTAATCTTTCGACCAACTGCGCCATCTAGTATCGAACAGAAGAATTAAGCTTTCTGGAAGCCCCACACTCGAACTTTCTATGCCTGGTGGGTTGGCGCGCGTATTTACTTGAATATTCTGGACGTTTCGGTTAAAAATGTGTATTTAAAGGCGCTGCAAGACGCGGTCGGGGCAGTATTGAATTTGGCGAGACAAGCGAAGCTTCGGAGCGAAATAAAGTGAATCAGTGTGATTAATTATTAGTGTCTTTTAAAATTTAATTGGTGTTCGGTAATAAAAGTGTAAATTGTGGTAATTCAATCGGCAATTTTTATTGTCACGAACCTCAAGCTCGTAACAATATTAAAATCTTTTTAATTGAAAACTCCTTGGTTTTAAAAATCGAATACCATTTATTTATTTAAAAAAAAGATTTCAAGTCAAAGTGTTTAGTCGTTGAGAAAATGGAATTGACTCGAGAAAATTCAAGAGCGATGATTTATTATGACTTTCGAAGTGGTTTAACACAAAAACAGTGTGTTGACCGGATGATTTCTGCATTTG